AGTAAACTTAACATGTTACAGTTTGCATTGCAGCACTTACACTGTTGTTTGTTTACACTAGAACCAGAACATGTTAATTTATTGATGTTTGGTGGCTTTCAGAAAGGTTCTTTGTGTTTTTGAGGTATTTGAATGATCATATTAAATGTTTGTACATAAGAAGATTACCAATTGATACAAAATTTACCAAACAATGACATAATATTTCTTAATCAGAATACGTTGCATACTGGTACATTGTGAATGTATTAAAGCTAAGTTTGCAGAGGACACACATACCATCAACTGCAACATTTAAAATGTAACTATATCTGACACCCATTGCATCTTTTATGCTGTAGATCATTTTTATTTACTGTGTATTTTTTGCTATATATGTATCAAAGTCTGTGTTGCACTATAAGAAATACCTTGTACATACTGACAAAGTCTGATTTCGAGCATCTTTTTTTAATGTCTACAAGTCTTCATTTGGAGACAGTTTTGGTGCCCACTTTGAGAGCTACCCGAGGCATGGGCTTGGGCAGTGGCATCACTTGTAGGTGGCTCAAACAAGCCATATGGTTTGGAGTGCGATAACTTGAAGCTGTAGCCAACAATGGAGTAATTGAGAAGGGGAAGAGGCCTGAGCTTGACTCGGCAAAGCTGCAAAAACTCCCTCTTTCACTCTAATGAAGCTGTTGTCTGGAGATTCTGTGTGGGGTTGGGAGGATGGTGGTGGACGTGATTTGTCATACAATCTGAATCTTTAGGAGGGCCGGAGAAAGACCTCCTCTCCATATGTCTGCTTATTTTGCATCTGAAAGCTACGGGTGGAGATGGGGGTAGAGAAGGGGAAGGAAAGGAGTGAATTGAGGCACTGGACCAGGGTTTCTCTTTCTGTCAGTGTTCAGGCAAAACAAACCCACATCAGACAGATTTTACTCTGAAAACCAAGAAAATTAGACAGATACTTTTGGTAACTTTATATGTACAGTGTAGGATTACATGTTTTGTCCATTTTGGGCACATTGTGGAGTTTTTAAATGAATTCTTGAGACCTTATGTATAATTAAACATTGCAAATGGCTCTGATAATGATATAATTCACACAGACTTGGTTCTGTAATAATTATAAAAGTGTGGATGAGGTGGGTTTTGTTACAGATTAGTAATTGACCATTAATAAATTAATAATTAGCACAATATGTCCACAAATGAAACCTTTCAAAAAAAAGGTTTTGCAGTGCAATACAATGCAATAATAAAGAAATAAAGAATGAAGACAAGAAAATTCAGTGTACCTAGTGTAGAATAGGCACATAGACATGATTATGATGAGTGTTGTTGGTATAGTTGTTTTTATTTTTGTTATTATTGTTATTTTCTATGTTGTTTTTGTAAAACAACAACAACAAAAACCTTGCTAGACTCCTCAACAGATCAAAACGTGCATTATTCTTTAAAGGATAACAACATACACATGCTAGACCAAACCAATCCTTGACCAAAACAAGAACCACTTGAAAGAATGCAGCTGGACAATAAGGAGCTCGGAAACAATGGCAGCACTTCTGCATTAGGTGTCGCTAGTAGAGAACTTAGACCACCATGTAATGAAAGAGCACTGGCAAACTATACAAGTGCAATTATGCCAGGACAATAGCTGTAGTGCTTCCCCTGAGTTAGTGGGCATACTACTGCACACTGGAATGGTAATAGTCACCCAGCATAATGCAAAGCCTTTCAGAACAGGTGTGAAAGAGAAGAGTGGAGTGGTTACACTCACTGAAGCTGCAGTAGGTGCATGGATGGTCTTGAAAAAATGCTTTTCATGTTTCTTTTTCATTTCACCTTCATCCTTTTTAAATTTCAGTGGTATAAAGATGTTCTTCACAATGTACAGTATGCTACAAAACCTCTTAGACCCCTCAGTAAATGGCTTAAAACACTTATATTGTAGTAAGTAGATTTATCCTTGTAGAAACACAATATAGTATTAGAATAACACAAATAAACATAAATACACTAAAGGTAACATACATGTCTTGTTTCCAAAAAGCAGTTGAGATGTTATGAGGTGGAAGAACACAGGTTTGGTTCCAGATGTCTCCTCAACGCCTCCAGCTATTGCACAGATTAGGTAAATTCCATCAGCAGCACTCCTGATATCATTTAATGAAGGATTGTTTAGACAAACCCAGCTTTGGAGGATAAGGAAAGGTTTGGAAATGGTTAAAAGAACGCATACATAGTATCACTACTGATCATATGAATATCTAAATTTATTCACTCTTGAAAAAGGTGGTTCTTCAGGGCTTTAGTAAAGGCAATGGTTTTATTTAGAACCAAGAGTGTTATATAGAACCATTTCATGCTTAAATGGATCTTTGAATGGTGAAATTGTTCTTCAGATTGATGGAGAATGTGTGGTATATGGTTCTATATAGAACCTTTTTAAAATAGCTCTATGTAGCACCAAAAATGGTTCTTCTCTTGTTACTATATCAAGCTTTGTAACAATAGCAGAATGCTTTTTGGTGCAATATAGAACCACTGTCAAAAAAGTGTTATATAGAACCATACACAACACATTCTCCATCAACCTGAAGAACCATTTCACCACGCAAAGAACCATTTAAGAGGTCATGGTTCTAAATAGAACCATTGCCATTACTAAAGAACTCTTGAAGAACCATCATTTAAAGAACGTGATCTTAATATTTTCTATATAATATTTCTGAGTAAACAAAAGTTATTGTTTTTCAAACATAGCTTTCTTGGGTGCCTAAACTTTTGCACAGTACTGTATATTCCAAAATATAGTACTGTAATAAGTACTGTTGGATGATGACTATGAAAATTGTGGTGTTGGAGGTAAAAAGAAGCTTTAGATCATTTAATACTTAGGACATTTTGAAATATATGCTATAATTGCTCTTGTCAGACTGTTGTGTTAAACTGTGTGCATGATCTAACAGTTGTTATGAACTCTTTATTACACTCATCTACACAGTGTACTACCAGATTAAATATACAAATGATTAAAGACAGCACTGCAGACAAGATGATATCAAAGCAGGCATATTTTAGGGTCCTTCAGTATGAATAACATTCACAGACTTGAAACAAACATGAAATTTCTAATCATTAGTTTCATTTTGATTTTTTTTTCTAGGAAAATGCCTTAAAAGACTAGCACACCTTCTGCTGAGGCTGTAATACAAAACCTGGCAGCAAAATCTGTGGTGAGAGGGTTTGGGTTGGGTTAAATGCGAGGTGGTGTCTGCAGTAAGGGCCATGAACTTGTGGCTGTGGAGACATCTGCATACATTCTGTCAGCCTGCCTCTTCTGATATCAAGGTTAATGATATGAGCGCCAGCAGCTCTGCAAGAATGCACTGCGGAGAGAACGAGGAAGTCCCCAAGGACCTTCATCAGTTGGGACGACTCTTTTTGATGCAAACACCATGCGCTGCGCTCGGATATTTGTGGACATCTGCCCAGGCTCATCAGCATGCATGGCCTCGGTTTGGGGGTATCTGACCTGCCCGAGCAACAATGGCCAGGCAGTCTGATCTATGGTACACCGCTGCTTCTGCCTTTATACTGCCGTCAAAGAAGAGCCTTTAAAAACAGGCCTTTAAAGCTACAGAAACTGCTACGGAGCAACTAAGAGGGGCTACAGCAACTAAACACATTTCCTCTTCTTTCTTGGACCCTTTCTTGCACATGTAATTTTTCTTTGTCATTGGCTTTCAGCATGTCTTACCACAGAGGAGAGTCTGGGGTGAAGGCGAGAGCAGGCTGCAGAGAGGCCCTGCTTAAACAGAGCTGGGAGGTACATTTACAACATGAGCTTGCCAAGTTGATGGTTATGGTGATGGGAATTACATGGCCTTAAAAGCAGGAATTGCAAGTTATAGCAATTCCTGATCTGATTTGGGCTTTAAAGAGATCCACCTGTACTTCTTTAGATCTGTCCCCTGCTTGCTATGAATGTATTAAATTGTCTGTACTCTCCTCTTAGCATTTTAAAAGTAATTGGTGATATTTTCTGATTACTATTATTACTCTCATATTTTTTCACATATCAAGAATCATCTTAACCAATCATATTCATGTAAATAAAAAAAGAACACTGAAGGAAAGATGGTATCCTAAAGCATTTTTGGTGGTTCAGGCTAAATAACATGAGAGTTTTTGGTTATGAAACAGTAGATAGAGTAAATGCATTAAACGAGTAAAATACTTTCTTTTAAATTGCTATATAAATGTGCAATTCTCTCGCAGCATAAATCAAATATCAAGCTAATAGAATTATTTTAATTTGAATAAAGATTCATATTTGCTATGATTTTACAGCTATATTATCGTGATGTAAATGGCATTTTTCCATCTACAGCGCCTCCTAGTGGTCATACTGTGAACCCGTTTTACTAACAGAGATGGTGAGTTTAGAGTTAAAACTTTTTAGAAGCAGCAAACTGATGCTGTTTATATTTCTGCTAACAACAATTAGATATATATAAACTTGCACGAACGACAAAATCTGTCCTTTTTAAACTTAATAATCAGTAATTAGTAAGCTTCATCACACTAGCCTATTATCTCTTTATACATTCATATAAAGATACTGCCCCCTGGTGGTTATTTTAAATTACTAAAATCCAAACTTTCATTCAATAACAAATCCAAAAACTGCATATGTAACACATGTAAAAGAATTTAATAAAATCCAGAAAATGTAAATACAAAGACAGCAACGACATAAACATCATACATTAATATTTTGTTATTAACTACATGAATGCGTGTGACTGTAAAGTAATAGTTGCAGGACGAATAACGCGCATTATTTCAGGTAAGGAAGTAAAACATTTCTACATTGTAAAGAACAAATTTTATTTGAAAGTTTTGTATCGATGAGCTTGGCCATTTTATTTAATGCTTTTAAATGATGCGAAGATTATTTTGTATTAACAGTTGACACTCTTATTTTGAAAACGCGTTTACCCGGATGTAAGTCAGATTTGAGGTTTGTTCGGCTCCAACGCTTTGGGCTCAGATAGCATTTCAGTCGTTTTTGTCTTCTGAGTAATAAAACGCGGCTGAAATCCACACCGTAAGAGATGTTTTATCATGTAAGTTGACTCTTGTTTCACTCAACCTTTAATACGTTCTACGTGGTTAGCTCAGTTAACGTAACTTCAGAGTTAAACTGCTAAGTTAGCGAGGTTTCATGCATTCATGGATGTGGTGGTGTTGCTTGTAGCCAGTTTGGTAGCTAGCTAACATTGTGTGGTTTTGATACACAAAGTGTTTAGTTGGGTTCGAGATTTGGTTGTCAAGTATAATTCAGACATTGGAAATTTTGGAAATTGATATTCCCTTCACCACAGTTCTGTAAGGATATCCTAACGTTTTTAAACAATTAGCTAAGGTTAGTAAGCTAAGTAGACTAGTTATCTAAATGCCTAGCTGGCCAACTTAGCTACTGTCTAGCAGATTTGAGCAGTCACCTGCCTAGCTGGACAGGAACCTACTTTAATAATATACAATCTGTTATGTTAAATTTTGTTATCGTAATATAATGTTATAGTCTTCATAATGATTGATGTATTTACTTTTAGGTTGTGGTTCTTTTAATGTGATTGTGAAAGTGGTCTATAATAAAACTGTGTCATGTGATATAAATGAACATTTATTTCAGATCTCTCTGGAGCATGAAATTCTTCTCCATCCTCGCTACTTTGGCCCAAACCTTTTGAACACAGTCAAACAGAAGCTGTTCACAGAGGTGGAAGGCACATGCACAGGAAAGTAAGTCCAGCTGAAGATCACTGTAACAACTTTAATTACAAATTTTGTCGGTGAATGTGTGCATGTGAGTGACCTGTGACCTTTTTCCATGTCTTTGTAGATATGGCTTTGTCATTGCTGTGACCACTATTGATAATATAGGAGCAGGTGTTATACAGCCTGGCAGGGGTTTCGTGTTGTATCCTGTCAAATACAAGGCCATCGTATTCCGGCCTTTCAAAGGGGAGGTAGTGGATGCAGTTGTCACTCAGGTTAACAAGGTGTGAAATGAGCTTGTTTTTCTAATTTGTTAATTTCATCTTTCATTTCTCACCAGATACGTGTTTTGAGTTGTTTTGTTCAGTTTGTTCTTTCTTTAGGTTCTATTTTGTATGTTTTTGTAGGTTTGCATTTTTGTAAGTGTCTTTAATGTTTGCAAAAAGTTTCACCTAAAACATTTTTGTTTTGTTTATTACAGGTTGGATTGTTTACAGAAATTGGGCCAATGTCATGTTTTATCTCACGTCATGTAAGTTGATAAACATTACTATCCCTATCACATGTATGTATGGCTACGTTGTCCTCGGAAATTGACACGCCCCCTACTCTTACACTCGGGGTCTCATAAAAAAATCTCACTGGTAAATACAACACTGTGGTGGTGCTCCTCTCATAAGCACAATATTTGTGTCACAACTTGAAGGCAGCATTAAACCAATCAGATTGTTTGTTTAGAAGAGGTATAGATGATTGGTGCCATACAAATGACAACAGAACAGTCTAGATCAAGGGGGTCCAATCTTATCCACAAAGGGCCAGTGTGGTTGTAGGTTTCCATTTCAACAAAGCAGGAGTTTGAAGACTGGGCAGTTGATTAAACTAACAGAATCAAGTGTTCTGCTCATTAGGAATGAAAACCTGCAGCAACAGTGGCCTTTTGTGGATAAGATTGGACACCACTGGTCTAAATGATTGAAAATGAAGACATGTTGTGGACCATATTGTACTCAAAAGTCATGATAAAGTTTTCTACATGGTTTTTGAAAAAAACCTTTAATTGGTGTAAACCTTTTACATTTGGAGGAGGTTTTTTTTTAAATGTTTCAAATGTTCTTCACACTCACACATCTCATTTATTAAAATGTTTTCATTGAAAGGTTCATTAGAGGACCAGAAATTGTTCTTCTGTGGTATCACTTCAAGGAACCCTTTTTGATTCCATTTGGCACCTAATTTTGAAACACCCTCTCTGTATGTAAATTAAGGATTTACTATCAGCCACTTTTAAAATCACCCTATAGGACATAGTATTCTGATTTAGTTATGTGTCTGTTATAGCATTTGCACAGCTATGATGTTAATTTTGATCTTAAACATGGATTTTACTGGAAGCTTCATCTATACTGTTACTACACACCAGACGTGGATTAAGCCTAGGCTTAGCCTAAATTGCAGTGCTAATGATGACTCTCCATTGGAAATTGTTTTTATTTTGCCTTAGGCTTAATCTGGGTCTGGGAAACTGACCCTGCAAATAATATCTTTCCAATTGCTGATGGTTTTGAACATTTTATATTTGTTCCTTCCTTGTCTAGTCTATACCCTCAGAAATGGAATTTGACCCAAACTCCAATCCTCCCTGCTACAAGACAGTGGATGAGGTGAGATGATGTAGTGAACATTCATGCTTTTTAATTGTAATGAATGATTTTGTTACTTTTATATATTTTATTTAAATTGCAAATGCAAAAGGTTATTTATTTCATGTCATTTGCTCTACAGGACATTGTCATCCAACAAGACGATGAAATTCGATTGAAGATTGTGGGTACTCGGGTGGACAAGAATGATATAGTAAGTCTGTGATTAAATATGGATTTCATAATATATCAGTACATTCCAGAACAGTTTGCTTTCATACAGCAATCTTTTTTTCTCATTTTTATGTATATATTTCTTTTCTAGTTTGCTATTGGATCTCTCATGGATGACTACTTGGGTAAGTACTTTTGACAGCATGTTGTAATGTTACTACTTAAATCCAGTTACGTAGTGGAAGAGAAAATATCTTGGTCTTCTGCTTATTTACTGAAAAATAGCTTTGCATCATAAGCTTTGCATCATTGCTTCAGTAATTTAGATTTAGATTTTATTTCCAGAAGTGCTCCTATAATTTACATTTTTTATTTTTGTCTTTTCAGGTCTTGTTAGCTGAGAACCAGAGGACTTAAATTTGTGGTCATCTTTAGACATTTTTGTATATAGTATTTTCCCCCCACTACACTTACCAGTGTAGATTAAAAATATTTCTGCTACTCATTTTTGTTGTATTTTTTTCCTGCAGACTTCATTTATCATAATTTTCATTGTGCTGTAACTTCAAGCGAATTGTGGACTGAATATAAGCAAAGTCTTGGAATGTCCTGCTTGTGAGAGCAGCAGGATCGTAATGTGTTTACACGTTTTGGAAGCTATGTATGACTGATCAATATAAAGACGAGTGAAATTTGATCTGAAGTGAAGAACTGTTGTCAAGCTTTTTGTCAGACTGTCTATTGGCCTATTTAGGAAAGCTTATTCAATGAGTTATTAAAGGGAAATTCCACATATAAACCTTCCGTATAATTGTGTCATTGAGGTGTAAACAAAGTCATGCAGAGTGGTTTGATTTGAAATGGTTCATTGTAGCAAAATTTCAGATATCTTTGGTGGTAATGGGAACCAAGGGTCATGAGGTCTGCAAATATAACCATTTTAATTACTGTCCAGAGGGACTGGTGCACCTAAACTGTACCTCAGAACTGTCATAGAACAATGTTTTAGGTATCAAGTAACACATTCATAACCATTTCACGTAATAACTTTCTGTGAATTAGCTTTTAGAGGCAATAAAAGCTTCAGATGCTTAGTTTCTATCACAAATGCTGAAAAAATTCTCTAGAATGATGCCTCTCACATCAAAGCACTTTGAAAGATATTGTTTACATATTAACGAGTGAATAATCCAGCAGTTTTGAAAAATGGATGAAAATCCCCTTTAAGTCACATAAAGGGACCCTTATTTGTCAGCTTAGTGCTGAGTGGTGTTTTTCAGCATTTTCTGTTCCAAAACAACTGGCCTTTTAGTTAGTTAGTTAGTTCTTAATTTCACTCTCCAGTAGCAGAATCAGAATTTCAAAAAAAGACATTTTTGTATATACTTTCTTTTTTTAATAAATAAATCTTGTGAAGGCAATGTTGTATGTCTGTTTATTTAAATAGGAAAAAAACAACAGTGAAACCATATTTACTTAAATAAAATACACTGTAACTTGCTATTAAATGGGATAGAAATACATTCACCTGTGAGAAGAGATTGAAAGTGCTGCTGATGTCACTGGTCTACTTATCAATATATTCCTGCACAACAGCACAAACAAGTTCTGGGGGCACCAGCCAAACCCCATCCCCAAATCCAGCCAATCAGTTTCTTCTACAGCAGGTGTGACAGATTGTGATTGGAACTTGATTCTACAGAATGGTCGACCTCCAGGATGAGGGGCGTATTTCACAAAGCAGAATTTCTCAGTTTAGCCATATAATTTAAGCCTAAAGTCAAACCTGTCCATATAAGAAAAGAGCTGAGGGACATTCTTGTAGGAAAATCCTCAACTCTGGCCTTAATTTATCTGGCTAACTCAGTAGTCCAGCTTTGTGAAATACTCCCCGTATCCTTTAAAATGTCACATATATTTTAATGTGAAAAAATATACGTACATTTACGACGATCAGCCATGACCGACACAAACTGTGCAGCAGCAGATGAGCTACTATCTCTGACTTTACATCTACTAGGTGCACCGAAAAGACAGAAGTGTCTAAGTGGACAGTGAGTGGACACAGTGTTTAAAAACTCAAGCAGCACTGCTGTGTCTAATCTACTCGCACCAGAACAACACACACTAACACACCACCACCACGTCAGCATATTTTTTCCTCTATATGGGAAAAATGTTAGAAACTGTGTCGTTTGGTTTCCACGGACCACCCATCATCAGCTGCGGGCAGCACGCGACACTAAAGTTGTGTGGCATTATTGTGCGCTGTGCAACATAGTCCTTAATATTTGATCACTAATAAGATCAGAATAATACTCGCAATCGTGTATGAAAAATATCTGAAATACGCTGATTTTCTGCTCCAACAAAGTCCTGAACACACCCTCTGGCGGATCTGTGTGGCGCAGTATTTCTGCGACATGCCTCTTCTATACGACAGCAGCGCGCGCCTCCGCTCCTTCTTTCTCTCGTCCTGAAGATGGCGGCAGGGGTGAGTAAGATGGAAGAAGATCTGATTTTTCACCCTAGTCTCACATCTGCGCTTGCAATCCACCTTTTATCACATCCATCCTCGTTGTCACTGTGTTTATTCTTTAACGCTGTGGTTTTGTGGTTTGTATTCGAACCATCGGGCTGTTTATTTGGTTTTAAAACAAACCGTCAGTCCTTATTTTGAATGAGCAGCTGGGAGAAAGTGGGAGCAGCGCTGAGCGTCTCGATGTGCCACGTTTTACGTTCCGGTGTAACGGGAGGCTCGTGTCTGCTCTGATGAGCCCTCCGTGTACATTTTCGGAGGCTTTTCGATGTAATAAAAGTCGCTTCGGCAATCTTAATTCGAGATAAAGTGCAATGCCCGTGTCTTGTTATAGGCTGGCTGGGTACCGCTAGCCTGGAAGCTACTGGCTTTATGTGACCAGCCAGCTAGCTTGTAGCCAGCGTTCACTTTCCCAGCTAGCTCATTTGTTGTACACCTCCAACTAAATTATTCTGAATAAATGTAAAGAGAAAACCTTTTTAGCTCCTACCTGGATGCTTTTTATGTCGCTGTCTACTTAGTATGTGTTTGTTACATCAGTTTACTTAAGTTTCTGATTACCTGGTTCTGCACCTGCTTAGTTTTATAAAGCGAGATAAAGGAGCAAGCTAATTTCTTGCTTGTTAATGTGACCAGTTGTTTTTGGACAAGTCTGCGCTCGTGCTAGTTTATCTGTTGATGGGAAACTGGTGTCTGTTTCAGGGAAAATGCTGCATCATGGTCTGTAAGGGACCTATGATGGACCTCAGCAGTTTCTGCTGCTGGAGTTGGCATGATGGCCCTTTTCTGATACCAAATATTGAACCCTTTGAGTCTCAGCCAGTATAGAGATATCTTAACTACAGGACTGGATTGGATTCCCCCAAATATGTGATTTTCTGCCCGTATTGGCCAGATACAATACCCATCGATGATGATGCACCATCTCTAGTTTCTGTATAACCAAGCTCTCCGGTTTCATAATGTAACCATGAAATTGCAGTCAGTATTTCTAATAGTGTAGTATGAAGCTCACATGCTAATTGTGTTTTCCACAGACACTCTACACATACGCAGAGAACTGGAGGGCGTACAAGGCTCAAATTGCAGCCCAGTACAGTGGGGCTCGTCTGAAGGTGGCGAGCTCCCCCCCTGCCTTCACCTTTGGGCAGACGAACCGCTCCCCTGCTTTTCTTAGCAACTTTCCCTTGGGCAAGGTTGGTAGCTAGTTTGTTATCCTTCCTTCTTTCATTCATTTATCTCTGGAATTGTCTCTTCTTGTAAATGTTTTGTTCACTGCTAGCCTCTCTTCTCTTTAGGTTCCAGCTTACCAGGGTGATGATGGCTTCAGTCTGTTCGAGAGCAATGCCATTGCTCATTACCGTAAGAATCATCTTTGGTTTTGGATGGAGACACATGAAGATTGTTTAGTGCTGCATTCATGCCTTTTTTTTTATTTAAAATGTTTTTATTGGTATGAGTTATTCTACACTGCAAAAATATTGAGAATGGCATGTAAGTATTCACATTGTTTTCTGTGAATTCCTTTTTCCCTGGTAGTGAGCAATGATGCCCTCCGAGGCAGCACTCCTCAAGCCAGTGCCCAGGTCCTGCAGTGGGTCAGCTTCGCTGACTCTGAGATCATCCCTCCAGCCAGTGCCTGGGTCTTCCCAACCTTGGGCATTATGCAGTTCAACAAACAGGTCAGTAGGTTGGCCATCTTTTGATGTCTGGGTCAGACATGTTATGCTTTGTGAGCTTGTACTTATTTTATAATTGTGGTGTTGTCTCCCTAGGCCACAGAGCAGGCCAAGGAGGAGGTGAAGCGTGTGCTCGCTGTCCTGAACCAGCACTTAAACACCCGCACTTTTTTGGTTGGTGAGAGAGTCAGTCTGGCTGACATCACAGTGGTGTGCTCTCTGCTCTGGCTCTACAAGCAGGTGAGTTTCATATAATGTTTATTAAAATACTTAAGGTAGAGCCCATTTCCAGAGGGTGTGTTTGGTAATCACGGATAATATTTGATCTGTTAATGCTCTGCCTTCAAATGCCCCATGTGCATGTTTTCTTTGCATTACTTAGTCAACCAGAGATCAAAATCTCTGATCAAAAAGACTCTAGTCTTGTTTGTTCATGCCCTTGGTCACATTACGTACAGTTCATTGTCATCATTCGAAAGACAAAATTCTTGTTTTGCCATAGTCTTTGAAGTGTAGTGATTTCTCGCCTCTAAACACCATCAGATGTTTGATTGGGTCAACGTGTTGCAGCGGGCGGGGAAAAAAAAAACATACTAAGCAATAATATCTTGGCATCACCCTCACCAGTCATGGAGCAGAAACACTTCTGCTCCTGGCTGCACGTACATGCATGTCGATAGATGGACTCCTTTGTTCTTCTTACTCAACCCTTTTATTTTTTTATATATATATATATATATATATATTATATATATATATATATATATATATATATATATGACTAATTGTCATTAGTTTTTATCAATTCAATTTATTGGGATTTATAGACAAACAAAGCAGTACCAAATATCCTCATGCAAAGAGTGCTTAGCCATCCACTTAGCCCTTTAAATATTTTAGCCACCACCTGCATTGTCTGATGATGAGAAGAGTATGAAGCACTGCTGCTTAGCCTGTTGCTGCATGCACATATGGAGTTGTTGCGCAGTTCTGAAAAGTTCCCAAACGTGTGGAATTCAGAGGCACTCACTGTACTTGGAAAGGTTTGGAAACAAGAATGTTTTTTTTGCAATTTGTTGCAAGGATTCAATCAATTTCAGGAAACTAAAGTTTTTACTTATGTTTTCCATTGCTGTTGTAATTGAAGGGTCTGTACATATAAAACTGAATACGTAGACATTTTAGAAAGGTAAAGTGAAGTACCTTCACATGGTATTTTTAAATGCAGATTGGACACGAACTGTTACATTTTTTCATTTGGTCAAATTTCACCATTAGTTCAGCTATTCTCTAATAGCACTTTTGCCAGATTGCTTTCGTTACCTTTGTTGTGTGATTAATTTGCTTGTCAATCTTAGGTTCTTGAGCCTGCTTTCCGTCAACCCTACCCCAACGTCAATCGCTGGTTTGTGACCTGCATCAACCAACCTCAGTTTAAGGCTGTTCTTGGGGAGGTTAAGCTCTGTGAGAAGATGGCTCAGTTTGATGGTAAGATACTATATATTTCAATATGGAGTATATTTTAATACTATTGAACTGCTTTGTCTACATGAGTCTAGGTATGCAGAATTATTTTGCTTTTGTAAGCCAAATTGAGACTCTAGCGAATGTCCTTCTTGCCCTTGCGCACACTACTAATATTTGACAACAGTATTGTGACAATGCAGCACACTAGCTGTGCTTGAGTTAGTTAACTAGTTGGCAATTTAAATGATATTGATTAGCTGGCTAGCATGATAAATAATAGATGTTTGATGTACCAAATATTTTAACAAAATTAATCATAAATAAAATGACAACTGTACATTCAATAAGATGAACACCATATGTTGGAAAAATAAATAAGCTTGCTGTTTTGCCTCCAATGTATATATAATGAAGCATCTTAATGGCAAGTTTAAGTCATGTGCCTGAAATGACGGCTCAATTCTTACATGTATTTGGCTCAAAATGCTGTGCGAGTAGACGGCTCACCAAATATTTAGACACAGCCATGGTGTTCTTGCTGTCATACTCCGTTCCTTGTGTGCACGTCTGTGTAAACTGTTGTGATTGGAATTCTGATTTAGTGCGCTCAGCTACATTAGTTTATCGCAATGCATGGTTTGTCAGCTTACCGTTTAATTGATGTTTGTCCCAGTTGACCTTTTCTTCCCCCTCCCTCTCTAGTCTTCCTGATTACGGTGAAGACATTTGTTAAAGTTTCGATAATAAAAACTAATAGCATAATCTTGGAATTGGTTTGGTATTGGCAAATTTCTCAAAAATAATGGCATTGCACAGATGTTTAGATTTGACTGGTATTTCACAAGTCGATTGTGTTCTGTTAGAACAGAACATTTTAGCTGTGCTAAAAATCAGCAGTTTATTCATCTTGCTGCTTTTGTAACTTATACAAATATTGCATTTCTCTGGAATATCAGTAAAGGTGGGTCTAGTACCAATTTCTGTTTTATAAATATATCAAATAAATACATAAAAAAAAAAGGGGAAAAATTCCCATATCCGTGCATCCATCACAAAGCAATGTTTCATTTCTCAGGTTGGCCTTCTCCAACCTGCCTTTGAAGCCGTTTTATGGTGCCTCACTTCTGGTATTTAGATTATTTGGATTTGTCTGTTTACTTCGGCAAGCTTTTGTAGACATGCAGGGATAGGGTTCATAAGTCAGGGAGAGTTTGGCTCACTTTCTGGTGTTTTGAAATGAGAGCTTACTCCACTTGTTCTTGCAGCCAAGAAGTTTGCCGAGATCCAGCCCAAGAAGGAGACGCCATCCAAGAAGGAGAAAGGTGGCAAGGATGCTGGTAAGCAGCAGCCACAGCAACAGCAGGAGAAGAAAGAGAAGAAAAAGGAGGAGAAGAAAGCTGCTCCTCCTGCTGAAGAGTTGGATGAGTGTGAAGCTGCGCTGGCCTCTGAACCCAAAACCAAGGACCCATTTGCTCACCTTCCAAAGAGGTATTTGTGGGTTGACTTGAGGGCTGGCCTTAATTATTTGAATTTTTAAATATTTGTTTGGTTTGTTTCTTTAAGCCAAAAATGTAGCTGTAACGATTAATCAGCCAAGGCCTTTACATAGAAGTTATAGTTAATGTATGGGATATGTTATAGAAGTGTAAAACACTTGAGCCCTGTTCAATGCTGCATCAGCCCGCCATAATTGACTTTGGAAATTCTTTCCTGTTTCATTGTAGATCAGTGTTATTTTTTTGTTTTGCATACTGACCCTTTATGCTGTAACTGTGTTCTGATCATTGTGAATCTAATGCCTTACCCCACTTTTTTTATTTTAATTTACCCCCAGTTCATTTGTTCTGGATGAGTTCAAAAGAAAGTACTCTAATGAGGACACACTGACTGTGGCAATCCCTCACTTCTGGGAAAACTTTGACCGTGAGGGCTACTCTATCTGGTATGGCGAGTACCGCTTTCCAGATGAGCTGACCATGACCTTCATGAGCTGCAATCTTATCACAGGTGAGAGCAGGTTATGCTGACACCAATTTAATGTTTTGCAATTCCTCTAAAAGTTGAAGTCTGAATTTTAGCCTTTTTGAGCTACTAACTGACTACTTAGTGTTAGAGATGCAAGGTGATGTGGGAGTAATTATTATTGGCAGATATTTGCTTAAAAAGAAAAAAATAAATTGTGTATGTTTTTAGATTTGACAGATATTTAAAACTGATATTTGTTGACTCTTGTACTCTTGAAAATCAGAATGTTTAGGTGATGCTGGACTACTGGGCTATAAATGTCTGTCTTATTCTTTTTACTGCATTTGTAACCCTCTGCAGTAAATATTCCACCATAACGCTAATCCAGGTGGATGTAGTCGTATTTTCTACATTTTTAGAAATTTCTCCATGTTTTGAAATGTTTGTATCAGCATCGGCAGATCTCGGTGCATCTCTAGTTAGCATCATAAGTCCTGCGAATTGATACTTGCAAGCTTTCCTTAATTATTAGCCATGCTGTAATTTTTACTCCTAGTTCTATTTTCTCATAGTTGATTTTATGTTCATAGACTCATTTCTTTAAGCGCTCACATTCGCTTTGTTTTGCTTTAGGAATGTTCCAACGACTTGATAAACTGCGCAAGAATGCTTTTGCTAGCGTCATCCTCTTCGGCACAAACAACGACAGTTCCATCTCTGGCATCTGGGTCTTCAGAGGCCAGGATCTAGCTTTCACTGTAAGTTCATCCAGGTTTTTTTTTTAAATTTATTTATTGCATACTAGGTTTGTTTTACAAATGTCTTCTTTGTTTGTGGTTTTTATTTTATTTCATTATTTGTGGTATTTCCTTTCAGTATTGGAAAAGTCTTTCGTTTATCGATATTATAAAAGATGTAACCTCTGGGGTAGATACAGCAATCCAAAATAATCGTTTTATCTCCATAAATGAGCACTCGTGGTCTGTAACAATTCTTTTTTTATTATTATTTTTTTTTCCCCCCCAGCTATCTGAAGACTGGCAGATCGACTACGAGTCCTACAGTTGGCGTAAACTGGATGTGGACAGCGAGGAATGCAAGACCATGGTGAAGGAGTACTTTGCATGGGAGGGTGAATTCAAGCATGTAGGCAAACCTTTCAACCAGGGCAAGATCTTCAAGTGAGCAATGGCACTTACCAGTGATCAACATCTAAATCTAAGGACATGCAACCACTTTGTGTGAAAAAGGAACTTAAATCCCCAAGTTGGAGAAGGTTGCGTGCTAAGATGCTGTAAAGAGGTTTTGAGTTGAGAATTAATAAAATGTTTTTCACAGCCCCATTTGGGTATTTGTTTTTGTAATCCTCATCGCCTGCTCTTTTGTGGTATTTGCTGCTGTTTTAAGTAGTTTCAAATTTTGTGCCTTCACTTTCTGCCAAACTTGGGTTCTAAGAAAAATGGGATGATCTCAACAATCTTGGAAATTAAAAAGGTTGAGCAAACAAGTTCATAAACATGTTTGCGGCTTGCCTGTGATATCTGGTAATAAGTAAAAGCTTCTTTACAGTCCCTTCAATAACATTTGAGAACATCTGACTTGTCACTAAAGGTTATAAAATTGCATTTGCTGCATTCTCAAAAATAATGCTTGGGGGCCACAAATTGTTTATTCCTCTACGATAAAGACCGCACTAGGCTAGCACAGACAGATTGCCCTGACCAGTTGTCTTCAGTCTGGAGGTGGTTGCTTTTGGGACAAAATGGTTGCTCAGCTTTTTAATTTAGGGTTTTTTATGTAACTTGTCTTACAGAATTCTATAAAGTGAAAACGCTGCTCTAATCCACCAGAGGGCAGTCAAGGCTACCAATGGCAACAGTTCAGTGCTGCTCCTAAAATGGAGACTAGCTCCTAAAAACTAAAGCTACTAAGGAAATGATGTTCATGAAATGGATTGCATGCCATGCAGTCCAAAAAACAAAGTGTATACTACAGTCTGCCATGTTATCCCACCAAAACTCCAAAGGTTATGTAGTTTTTAGGCAGGTTTATGAGGAATTGGAGTAATATAGTTTACAAACTTGTACCTATGACAAAGAAACCTGTCCTTCAGGCAAATTATCTGTCTTAGTAATATTTTATGAACCAGCTGTCACGTTTCCTTCTCCCTTTAGTGAAGTTGGAGGTTTAGTTTGGCATTGGTGGTTTTAGTAAGTGTTGCATGTATAAAATAAGCCATTTTATCTTACATTTTA